GAAGAAACTAGACGCCTTCGCACTCACGGGCGTTCCATTCGACACGCAAGGTGGAAACAATGTATGACTCATCACCAAGTGCGTGTGTACTCATCGCAATTTCGAATGGCCTGTGAGCTGGCGAGGACCATGCTTCCATTCACAACGCTAAACAAGCAACTTAGTAGCACAACTGAATGACAATATGAAACCTCGACTACTTGCCAGTCCACATGTCTACGAGGCCGATGTCAGTTATCCATTTCCAGCTGTCAGAGACCAATGCGATGATTCCAGATCGTTCCCTTGGTAAACTCAGGATGGCCACAAGGCTGATATTGCACACATCGTGCAGAAATCCGAGACCAGTGCATATTATACTTGTCATACATCCTGCGTAGGCGCAGCCCTGTTCTCCCAAATCGTGAAACCCCCGCGGTTCGACAGGGCGGGTACGAATGACACGGGTCCTAGATCATGGTGACAAACAGGGTGCTGACAAGACAGTACACATCGGAACGCACATGCACCATCATCATACCTCCTCATCGTCCTCCTCCTCCTCCTCCTCCTCCTCCTCCTCCTCTTCCTCCTCCCTGTCCTCCCCCACCCTTTGTTTCGTCCGCCCTCTCTTCGCCACCATCTCTGAACCATGCACGCAGGCTTGAGAAGAGCAGAATGGGCCAAGGGAATTGATCTTTGCTTCTGGCTTCGAACACGTGCCGGGCTGAACTCTGGAGGATTCCGTCTCGCGAAAGGAGCGTAAAGAGGAAATGGACGGGGAGGGGGGGGAGCATAAGTGGGAGCAGGAAAACAAAAAAAACATGAGCAGAGGAGGAAAGGAGGAGGGAAGGAGAAGGAAGAGGGATTCGGGCCCAGAATCGAAGGAACCATCGCGAAGCGACACAGGCAGGGGAGAAGAAGGGCAAGGGGATACCTTAAGGGAATCTGGAATCGCCCAAGATTGCATGTGACATTTGGCTGGCGTTAGGTCGGGTATGTCCCCCTACATGCGGATGTTGGGCGAAAAAAAAATATCCCGGCAAAGCAACCGAACAGCGATGTGTAGGAGCATATCTGGAAGCATTCCCCTTAAGATTCAGATGAGAATCCAGTTGTAGAATTCTGCTGTTCTCGCAGTCGTAGTCGCATTCGCGATGACAGTCGCAGTGGCAACGGCAGTCGCAGTCACAGCCTCAGCCTCAGCCTGCCTCAGCCTCAGCCTCCGCCTGCCTCAGCCTCAGCCTGCCTCAGCCTCAGCCTCAGCCTGCTTCAGCCTCAGCATCAGTCTGCCTTCGGCCTCGGCCTCAGCCTCAGCCTGCCTCGGCCTCAGCCTGCATCAGCCTCAGCCTCAGCCTCAGCCTGCCTCAGCATCAGCCTGCCTCAGCCTCAGCCTCAGCCTCAGCCTGCCTCTGCCTCAGCCTCAGCCTGCTTCAGCCTCAGCCTCAGTTTGCCGTCGGCCTCGGCCCCAGCCTCAGCCTGCCTCAGCCTCAGCCTGCATCAGCCTCAGCCTCAGCACGAAGCGACCCAGCTAGAAGGACAAAGCGCTGAATGTACACCGATGTGTTCGACGACTGCGTATGTAATGATGTGACGATATACAGACTGAGCCCTTCGTGAATGTCTACATGTTTTTCTGACGCCTACAAACGGCGCTGACGTGTGTGAGAAAATTGTCCGCGCAGCAAAAGCCGGCGAAGCGTGCGGGAGCTCGCATGCTGAGACAGACTACGTCTGCAGACCGCCAGCTGCAAAAGGTTGCGAGCGGTTCTTGGAAGATGTTTACGGAACGGAGCTACGGTGTCTGAAAACATTGGCATCGAAGCGAAGAGCCTCGGAGCCCTGCAGCCTGAGAAACACCGCAGGAACTCGCATACTGAAAAGGAACGCATTGCAAACCGCACGTTGGGAACCCTGCAGGCTGAGAAGCACCGCAGGATGTCGCATGCTGAAAAGCACTTGTACTGCAGAGCGCAAGCTGCGAAACCTGCAGGCTGAGAAGCACCGCAGGAACTCGCATGCTTTCGAACACTACTGCTCGAGACCGCAGCTGGAGAGCGGCAGACCGCAGGCTGAGAAGCACCGCGGGCAGGGAGACTTGCAAAACTCAGATGTCCTGATCGTCTTGGAGGAAGTCACGCCAGTCCGGCGGCTGCCAAGAATCGATGATGCTCCTGGAGCCACCGCCCGTGCTGCCGCCGATGTCCAGGTAGTCGCCATCGGCCCTGAACAGACGGCCGTGCCCCAACGCCAGAATCGCTTGGTTGCGGATTTGAAGCAGCGCTCCGCTCTCAAACATCTGCAACACGTCCAGCTGCCTGCGCGTGAAGTTCGGCTTTGGCTGGCCAGCCTGGGCAGACAGATGGCGGGAAAGCCGCTCCCCCTCGTTGTAGCGCGCGATGGCCTCGGCCTTCTGGTGGTGCAGCCGGCGCCGCTGTTGCCGCAGAGCTTCCTCGGGAACTGCTGCATCACGGCCCTCACTGTGATCAGCTTGCAACGCTTGCGTTAGCCAATCAACGTCGAAGCGCCCTGAGAAGGCCAGCACCTCCCAGATCTGTTTGGTACCGGCCACACGTTGCAAATGGCGATGCCACCGCTTACGCTTCTGGTCTTTCACAAACTTGGCGACGCTACCCAGACCTGCACCCTTGGCCTGGCCACCTTTTCCCGCAGGCTGAGAAGCACCGTGAGAACCTTTCTTACCGCCTGGCCCTTTGTTAGGACCCTGCGGAACCGCATGGCCCCCTTGTGGCGCAGACTTGCCTCTCGCTTTTCCCTTTTCGACATCCCGTTCCTGAAGCGCACGCTGCTGCCGCGACTGCTCGTACTGGTCGCGAGCTACTCTGACCAATTCCTGGCGCTCAGGCTCCGTGAGAACGTAGCGCATGTCGTCGATGTTCTTGCTCCGCAGAAAGTCATGTCGAAGCTTAAGGACAGAGAGAATGGCTCGGCCAGTCTCCTCCTGAGACGCAAAGGCCGTGTCATATTCCGAGCCAGGCTGAGGAGCGCCAGCTGGATCAGTGTCCGCTGGCTCCGTGGACTTCCTCTTTTTGAAAAGCAAGAGACTGAGATGATGGAGGACTTTCGGATCGTACTCCTCGTCGTACCTGTCGTCCCAAAGCTGCCTCAGCTCCCTGTGCAAGTCGTTCGCGCGATTCTGAACGACATCCTCGACGTAGTCGGGATCACCCGGTGAAGTCGGTGAAAGCGGAGGAGTAGAACTCGGCGACCGATCCCAATGCACAGAAGACTCGGCGTCCGCCTGTACGCTGACGTCGGCGTCGGAGACGTTTTCGACGACAATCTTCCGCCTCTTGCTCTCCCCAGGCTGAATAGCACCAGGGAGAGTGAGCACAACCGCCACCGCATCGTGTGCGTCGTTGCGCATGCCACGATCCGTAAAAGACGCGCCAACGGCAATGGAGCAGAAACGGGCGACTGCTCCGCAGACCGCGACGTGGTCGCCTTTGAGGTCGGCCGGAGTGGCATGGACCTCCCAGAGCTTCTCGTCGTTCTGCTGGCGCTGGTAAGCCTCCCGCGCCTCCTGGAAAGTGAGGTTGTCGTCGCCGACTACAAGCAGAACGACTGCCTGGCTCAGATTCTCAAGAATCTTTCCCAGGCAGTCCAGGTGCAAGCGGAGATTGCGAACTGTCCGCTTTCGAGTCTGGATGGTCGGCGGTTTCTTGCCGCACACGATGTGCATGTTGGCGATCACCACGTGGAACTTGTCATGGCCTGGTTTGTTCACCTCAAAATGTGAAATAACAGCATCAATCTCTCGGCCGCTAGGAGGCCTGTAAACTTTGCTGTCTTCGCACAGAGTCAGTTCCGCAGGCTGAGAAGCACCGCGGAACCCCCAGAGAGTCAAGTAGTTGTCGACCTCCGAGAAGCGAATGCCATCACCGAAGGCTTACTGAGGATCTCTGTCACGTTGATCCCTGCTCGGCGAAAGCCTTCACGGAACGCACCGACCTCGCAGCCACAGACAATATCAGCATCAGCGGTGTCCACTATCGTGGCGCACACCCTTCCGAAGTTAGCGCAGTGAGTGGCCGCCTGCTTACCAGTCATCATGCCCTGCTCGAACCCGAAATTGAACGAGGCGACCGTGAAAGACGCAGGCTGCACAGCGCCAGAGCCAGGCGTCTGTCCACCTTCCTCCGCAGGCTGAGAAGCACCGCGAGGCGGCGCAGGCTGAGAAGCACCGCGAGGCGGCGACACTTCGGACGAGCCTCGCGGAGCAGAGGCTGCGGATGAACGTTGGGTATGGGGGTACGGCCAGGGGAACGCCATTGCAATCGAAACTGAGTGGACTGCAGTGAGTGGCACGATTGAATGCAGTGGACTGCAGTGTCACTAGCAATTCCTGAACCAAACACGGCTGTGGCGGAAGGACTACGAAGCGTCTGGCGATTCAAAATGTAACCCGGGAATGTAGTTCTGGGAACTCGAAGACCAATGTGGCCCGGGAATGGAATTCTGGGAACTCGAAGAGCACGAAGTGTGTGACTGTTGCATCCGGCCCTCCAGAATGTGGCCCGGGAATGGCGTTCTGGGATGTCGAAGAGCACGAAGTGTGTGACTGTTGCATCTGGTTATTCTAAATGTGGCCCGGGAATGGCGTTCTGGGATCTCGAAGAACACGAAGTGTGTGACTGTTGCATCCGGGTATTCAGAATGTGGCCTGGGAATGGAGTTCTGGGAAGTCGAAGAGCACGAAGTGTGTGACTGTTGGAGAAAAACGAGCCCGGCACCCTGCCGCCCGGCAACTCCCCAACACCTGCCCGGACCCCCCTGTGGAGTGATCTGTGAGCTCTTTTGAGTCAACTAGAAACCTATCAGTCTTCGCTGTTAGGTAATTAATCAGAAATCCCCAACGTAATCCAAACATGCGTCTTTCTGGTTTCTTGATACAAAATAATATTGTAAAGAAAGTCCCCTGATTATTGCTTGACTATGTTTGAACATTCCTCCTGTAGAGGGACACGCCCGACGTAACATTTGGCTGGCGTGGGCCGGACCTTGGCCTGCTCCCACTGCTGCAGCCACGTGGACGCGCCCTTGTCTGCAATCTTGATGGTGGCAGGGTCCAGCCTCAGTCTCCTGCTCCTCCTCCTCCTCCTCCTCCTTCTTCCTTCCTCCTCCTCCCCCCCTTCCTCCTCCTCCTCCTCCTTCTCCTCCCTCCTCCTCCTCCTCCTCCTCCTCCTCCTCCACCTCCTCCTCCATCCTCCTCCTCCTCCTCCTCCTCCTCCTCCTCCTCCTCCTCCTCCTCCTCCTCCTCCTCCTCCTCCTCCTCTTCTTCTTCTTCTTCTTATTCGTCTTATCAGTATTCTTATTATTATTAATATTATTATTATTATTATTATTATTATTATTATTATTATTATTAGTAGTAGTAGTAGTAGTATTATTAGTAGTATTAGTATTATTATTATTATGATTAGTATTATTAGTAGTAGTAGTAGTAATATTATTATGATTATCATTATTAGTATTGTTAGTAGTAGTATGATTATTATTAGTATTCGCCTGCTTATTTTTCTTCTTTATATTATTATTAATATTATTAGTTGTGTTACTCTGCTTAGTATTCTTATTATGCGTCGTATAAGTGTTATTATTCTTCTTAGTATTAGTATTATTAATCGTCTTCTTCTCAGTATTATCAATATTATTATTATTGTTATTATTATTACTAGTTTGAGTCGACTTCTTCTGTTTATTAGTATGGTTATTATGCTTAGTACTCTTCTTAGTATTCATCATATTCTTATTGTCATTTTACGATGATCATTATTATTATTATTACATCTCTGACCCTTCTCCAGCGGCCCAGAGACCCACTCCAGAGGGCTGGTTAGATCCTTCGCTGGGAGATATATTTGAACCTTCTCTTTTTGACATGCGCCAGGCGAGCAGAGCGAAAAAGTTTCCTTCCGAAGGGATACTCGGTCCACGAGTACACCTGAGGATTCAAAAAAAGGCTGTGGCAATCACAGCCCAGAACAGACATAGGGAGGGAGAGGAGGGAGACTTGAGCGAAATAGTTACAGACAGGCAAGCTGACAGAGGCGGGCCTCAACGAAGCGAGAGATATAACAATCAAAGATTAAAAACATCTCTGACCATTCTCCAGCGGCCCAGAGACCCACTCCAGAGGGCTGGTTAGATCCTTCGCTGGGGGATCTCTTTGAACCTTCTCTTTTTCACATGCGCCAGGCGAGCAGAGCGAAAAGATTCCTTCCGAAGGGATACTCGGTCCACGAGTACACCTGAGGATTCAACAAAGGCTTTGGCAATCACAGCCCATACCGTGATCTATTACCGGAGGGCCTCCTGAAAGCACTGAAAGATGGAGGCCTCCGCAGCAGTGGCTCGCCTCGCGAGCTCGGAAGGAAGACGGGCGGCCTGGAGAAGAAGGCGGCCGCTCTTCTCGTATCGTTTTACGGACTTGGCGTGGGCCCAGCGCCCGCGCTTCTGAACAACTGCTAGACTGCGAGCGCGTACCAACACGTCGTGACTGGGCGCTGAGTGACGGGCCACGTGGGGAGTGAGGTGCCCTACTTTGCCGAGAACAGAGCGACTGTATTTCCTAAAAAGTGCTTCATACTTGGCTAGAGACAGGTGCGGGAAGACTAGCTGATCAGAACAGGTGTCAGACTTATGGCGCCTAGCCCACATCTCAAGCACGGAACCTACCCACTCACGGCCGATAGAGTCGAGAACCACAGTGTCATCGCTCTCGCCAGTCTCCGTGGTCTCACCGAGGTCTGAGTTACCAATGACAACAGCCCACTTGTTTCTTGACAATGAAGATGAGAGCTTTGAGGGCTGAACCACGGAGCACCACCGCAGTTCGCACATCTCAGAAGGTCTCAGGTAGGCGTCTAGTTGGATGGCCAGGGCGACGGCAGCCTCGGTGCGATTGCCCCTCAGGAAGACACTCATGAACAAGTAGAAAACCGAGAGCGGCCACGGATGTCGTGAGGAGCCAGGGAACCTGCGGACCCAGCCCTTCATCGCCTCACGAGCCATCGCGAGGCGGGCGGACTTGACGATGTCCGACCGTGGGAAGAAAGTCAGATACCCCCAGAGTGTGCACCGCCCTTCAGCGGCATGCCGAGCATCACTCATGAAAACATCGAAGTACTTGCACATTTTCTGATCGATAACGGACTCTGGAGCTTGTCTGAGGTCATCTGAGCGCGTCGCCCAGTCGAAAAACTCGCGAACTGCGGTCCCATATCGCTCGAGCGACGTCGAGGTGATCAATCCGAAACGGGCGACACCTCCATCCACAGGGACTGGCGCCGTCGGCCCGAAGCTCAGGTTGCGGCCCTTGACTGCCTCCACGAAACTAGAGATGCGGGAGCGGCGGCCAGCGACCTTTCGGGCCTTTCCTCGAGCGGGCTGCCTGTTTCCTTGCTGCTTCGAGGTTGGAGTCCTGACCGAAGACGATGAAAGGCCGCAGGTGGTCAAACCTGCCCTCGAGGTCGGCTGAGTCGGCGGCGCCAGCGAGCCCGAGGTCAGGCTCCGCTTGAAGCCGCTGCCGAGCTGGTCGGAGGCGCTCGCGGGCGCGCGAAGCCGGCCGTCGCGCAGCATCGCGAAGCCGGGCCTCCAGGTCCCCGCCGCCAGGCGAGCCTGAGCCGCCCCGGGCCCCCGCGGGCGCTGACATGCCCGCGGCCAGGGCCCATGCCTGGCAAAGACTGCGGGGGTAGGCTCCAGCGCCTGCCGTACGATTGCGAGAAACACGAGCCCCAGATGGCAACGTCACGGTCTCGAAACCCCTGAGCCCAACATGTGAATGATCTCTGGAGCACACCGAAGCTAAGGAACTCAGGGCTGAAAGGTTAGCGAGAATCGCTGTCGGCTTCATGTGGGGGGCCCCGTAACTACAGTGTACCAAACACACGCGAACAACGTCAGGAAGGTCAGTGAGCTCTCGAACGGGGTCGAAGTCCCAAAGTCTGGAAGATCTCGGATTCTCAATGCTCCAGAAGACGCCGTTCCGCGAACACTCATAAGCAACACGGCAGCTGAACAAGGCGAGAGCTACACCCACACGCTCCTTGTACGCGGCTTTCTCATAGTTGGCGATGCCGTGACGAGCCCGAGACCACACACTACAAGGCGTCCCAAGATGTACATACCAGAAGCGCCCCTTTCGGATGTCCTCTAAGATGATGTTCTGGACCTTCGGGTCCAGGCCGAGCTCCTCGAACGCCTTGGAGAGCCCACTCTCGCCCGAGAACAGCTCCAAGAAACCCTGGCCCTGCTGGGCCCGTCTCCGAAGCTGAGCGCGCCCAAGACGTAGAGGGGGACAGGCGGTCCGACTGGTCACCGAAGGTGCTGGAGTAGAAGACGGACAGGACGCTCGACGCAGAGAAGCTTCGATTTCCTCGGGAGGCTGCAAAGCCAGATGCTTGTCGCTCTCGGCCGCGGCGGGCGGGCGCCCTGCGAGACCGAGTCCAGGGGGCAGGCTGCCCGTCTTGACTACAGCGTTCAAAGGGGAGTAAGAGGGAGAAGATGATGTCATGTCTGTCGAACTCTGTCTGTTGCATCCTTTGTCGGGGGAGTTGTGCTCGAACCGACGAGATGGAGCGTCGGCCACGTTAAACTTCGCGCTGACATACCGCAGCCTCCAACGCACTCTACAACCGATTGTGTAGGCCGCAGCTCGCCGGCACTGCGCGTTCAAAGCTGCTGAGCGGCTGGACCGCCCTTTGTCCAGGCAGCCAACACATACCATGGAGTCCACGAGAGAAACTAGGCGGCGTCCGCAATTCTGGCGGACGCAACAGGCATGCCGCAGCCCCATCACAGCAGCGCGGGTCTCCTTCACATTGACGTGCTCTCCAGGCCAGCGCCAGCGCCTCGCTGCTACCAGCTTGAAGCCCTCCGAGTCGAACCAGGAGGCGGGCAGCGGCGGCGCCAGGGGGCCCACCTGACCGAGGCACTCGGCGTCGGGATCGCCAGGGTCGGCCGGGCGCCGTCGCAGACGGCGAGGGCGAGGCCGATGAGGTCTGTCGGGGGCAGAGCCCTCCTCGGCCTTGCTCTGCAGCCACTGGCCGAAGGCCGTGGCAGGGGCGGAGCCAGCGTTCGGCTGGGCGGAGCGGCAACGGGGCTCCACCTTGTGATCCAGCTGCGCCTCGTCTGCTTCCTTGCAGCCGCCCATCTCAGCGACATCAGCGGCCGAGGTCAGACCAACGCGGGGGCCTCGGAGGTGCTGCCTGAAGCTCCACTTCTCCTTCCAGCGGAAGGCCGACTGCATCTCCTCGACCGAGGCCTTCTTGCACATCAGGCCGTACCCGTTGTCGGCGGAGTCGCTGGCACAGACGCGCGGCACGCAGGGCGCCGCCAGGTCGACCTCAGCGAGCCAGGCCAGCCCAGCGACCAACCTCATCTCGTGCATGACCTCGCGCGGCAAAGGGGTCCGAACACCCCGGGCGGCCTCGGCGAACCGGCACGTGGCTGAGAGCGCGGCGTACCCAGGCCTGGCCAGCATCAGCAGCGATACAGCGTGGCCCAGCCAGACCTCCATGTGCCCCCCTCGCATCTTGCCACGACGCAGGAGAGCGCGGGTGGCCAAGTCAAACCGCCACACTCGGGAGGCCTTGTTGCGAAGCTTCCCCTTCCTGAGATCGATCTCAACGCCCACGGTCTCGAGGTGGGTCACCACATCAGGATAGGACCACGTGATAGGCAAACCAGATCGGTCAGCTTCAGCCTGCAGGGCGGAGCTCGCCTCACGAGCCAGAGAGGCGTCCCTGCCGAAGACAGTGATGTTGTCCACGTAGACGCTTCCCATGACCTTAGACTCATTCAAGTCGGGGGCGTGATGATGCTCCTTCACCACGGCAGGCGTCGGTAGAGACGACGAGCGCAGCGCCCGCTCTGTCATAGCGGATACAGCCTCCTGCGCAAAGTACAGAGCCCAGGACCACCCCATGCACATAGCGCGCATGCACGGATACAAGACCATGTCGTCTTCCACGGAGACCATCGCGTTCAGCTCGAGGTCCCAGAACGCTCCGACATTGATGCCGTACGTGTCCCTGATCTCGGCGGCGGGCAGCGGGTCGTCGAAACCGAAC